GTGGGGGATTTTCTTGTTTTCTGTGGGTTTCCAATGGTTTGCATGCAGAGGGGGTGGGACTCAGTTTCCCTGGGTGTTACTGGTTTAACAGGTGAGGGGAGAGGGAGTTTGTTGTTACAGAGGACTGGAGAGGGAACTTGGGACCCCAGCCAATGGCCTGGAGAATGGATACCCCAGCGACCGGTGACCTGGTGACCCGGAGGCCCAGCTGAGGAGACGCAGCCGGTTCTGGCCAGTGGGCGGACAATGGGCTGCAGAGTGAGGACCCAGTGACCTAACCAGCCGGTTCCAGCCAGAGGACAGAAGCGAGGAGGGGAGGCCCCGGTTTACGACCCTGTTTCCCTGGAGAGAAGACAATGGACAGAGGCGGGGCCTGGGGCCGGTGATCTCAGATGCCCAGCTGGGAGCAGGGGGGCTCTGGGCTGGAGAGGGGGAGCAGACAGAGCCCACCTGGATGCAGAGAGACTGGGATGTGCTGGGCTGAGGGAGGCCAGGCCTGAGGCCCTGAGAGTTTCCTGTGCTGTGTTCAACTCTCAATAAACCTGTGTTACGCTGGCTGAGAGTCACTCCGGTCTAGAGAACAGGGTTGCATCAACCCCTTCGGGGGCGGAGGCCCGGGGGGTCCAGAGCGAGGGGACTCCCTGAGGGGGCCCACGGCGAGAAACAGGTGCGCTAGGGCTCCGAGAGGTGCGGCTCCAGGAGGTGGAGGGACCTGACCACGAGAGCGAGTGGACCCTCGAGAAGGGCTGTCGCACTAAAAGGGGCACCCCCCACGGACCGCATGGGCCACGAGTGGGCATGATCTGTGAGTCCGTGACAGCACCACAGCCTGGGCCTGTGATTGTCCAGGTGTCGGGCCGCTCAGCCTCACACCTAGGGCCTTCACAGCATCCACCTGCGTACGTGACCTTGGGCAAAGTGTCAACCTCCCCATGCCTCAGTTTCCCTCTGGCATGGTCCCCTTGCAGGGCTATGAGACCCCCTCATTGCATTGAACTTTGGGAACCTGCCTGGGGCCGCCCATGTCTGATACTGACACAACTGGGCCCCATGGGGGCCTGCCCGAGGCCTTTGCAGCCCAAGGCCAGGGTGGCAGCAGGGCCCCGGGGCCCTGGCGTGCTGCTGGAGCAGGGCGAAGGGGTTGCCTGTGGCGCGGTGCCACCCGGCGCCCAGCCTGGCAGGATCATCTGGCTGCTTGGTCGCTGTATCTGCCGGTCTCGTTCCAACCCCTGCCCTCGGGCTCCCAGCCCTGCACACGCCCAGCGTGCCCTCCCGCAGCTGGGAGCCAGCTCTCCCCGCAAGAGCAGCACGGCCCCTGCCTCCTGCCCCAGCCCAGCCTGGGGCCACGCTGCCTGCTTGTGGATCCAGTTTTCCAGCCCCCACCCCACCCCCCAGAGCAGCGGGCACCTCCCAGCGTCCTTGCCTGCCCTGCCCGGCGGATGGAGCTGCACTGACACCAGGGCCCAAGTGCCACGGGGATGTAATTGCCGTTACACAGCAGTGCCCCCGGCTGGGAGGGGAGCCGGGCTGTGCTGGGCTTGGCGTTGTGGCCCTGTGTTGCCCGTGGCAGCCCCCTAACTGCCCCAAGCAGGGGATTTGCAGCCCAGTCATCATGAGCAGAGGGCTGAGCCAGTCCATGGGGCAGCAGCCGGCAGACACCACCCGGGGGTGCCATGGGGCTCAGGCCCACCCAGGAGGCTGGTGTCTATGGCTGTGGGTGGGGGACGCCCCTCGTTGTGGGTCCATCGGGGGCCGGGCGCCCTGGGGCTGCTCTGTCTGTCGTCCCCGGCATGGTGCCCGCAGAGGCCAGGCGGGCGAGGCGCTGTCAGCTGGCACAGACGCTGCTGATGGAGGCCGTGGCGGGGCCCACCAGCCCCAGCTCCTCCTGCTCGTTGACGCAGAGCTGGTAGCCGCAGCCCTTGTGGCGGGGCAGGGGGCCCAGGCGCCCGGCGGGCTTGGGGCGCGGCGGCAGCAGGAAGCCCACGCTGCCCGCGATCAGCATGTGCCAGATGCTGTGGATGTAGAAGTAGTTCTCCTCCGTCTCCACGCAGGCGTAGAGCAGCACGGCCCCCGCCGCGATCAGCGCCCCCGGGCACAGGTAGAAGGCCCAGCGCTGCCACGTGGGCGGGTAGCAGTGACGCCGGCGGATGCTGCGCGCCGTCTGGGGGGGCAAGAGACGGGGTGAGACGCCGCAGGGCAGGGACCCGAGGGCGTGGGGGAGGGGCACAGGATGAGAATTGGGGGGCGTGAGGAGTGTGTGTTGGGGGGCAGCTCCAGGGCAGGGATCTAAGGGGATGGGGGGGCAGGGGCATGGGGGGAGGTGCACAGGATGGATTGGGAGGGAAACTGCAGGACAGGGACGCGAGAGGATGGGGGGGCAGGGGCATGGAGGGAGGGCCACAGGATGGATGGGGGAGGGGGAAGTGAGGGCGGGATGCTGCAGGGCGGGGGGGGGGGGGGGGGGGGGAGGGGGAGGGGAGGGGGGACAGCAGCCCCTGTAGCTCCCAGGTGCCCCCCCAGCTCCACCCCATGGGCCTCACCCAGGCGACGGCCATGATCCCCACGGCGAAGAGGCTGGGCCCGAGGAGGTTCCAGAGCCCGTGGCGGTCCAGCTGCAGGGCCATGGAGAGCAGCATGGCGCCCAGCAGGTACAGCACCTGGCGCGGACAGCAGGCAGGGTTAGCGCAGGGCGCGAGCGACATCCGATCCCCCTGGGGTGGGGGCAGGGTGGGACTGAGGGCGAGCGGTCTCAGACACGCAGCCCCAGGCTGGCTGGGCTGGAACGGCAGAACCAGGTCTGCCTGGCCGGCCAGCGGCCACGGGGCAGAGCCCGAGCTGCAGCGCACCGGCCAGGGTGCCAGCGCCCGGGTCCTAGGGCTGCGGCTGGGCACAGAGGGACGAGGGGAAATGGGGGGCTGAGGAGAGCAGGGATCGGGGGCCCAGCTCCCACCACCTGGCCCTGTGTCTGGGGTTCACCCACCCCCCAGCTGAGCTAAGCGCCGTCTGACGCTGGCTTCCAGGGGCCGGTCCCTACTGCGTCTCCCCAGGGCTGCAGGAGGCGCTGGCTCCTCCCCGGGAGCGACGTGCCAGCCTGTGGCGGGTGTCATGAGGGTGCCC